AATTTTTTTTTTTTTTTTGCAAAACATTGCACTTGCAAGCAATAGCAAGTTTGTGAAATATTGCTAGAACAACTTGTACCACACCATCTGCTACATGTGGAGAACTGAGAAATCAGAGATCTGTCTGGGCTTTGAAATTTGATTTTTAAGTTAGTTCTGACTAACATCTTTTGAAGTAACTTCATTTCAGTCTTACCTTCTTCAGACTGTGTCCCCCTGTCTACGTGAAAAGTACACAGGAGACATACATACGGCAGGAATTATAACACATCAGTAGTCTGTGTTATAATCTCCCTTCCATTGAGGTAGAGTCCTCTCATCTGCAAAGTACAGTATGCAAAAATCCCAACTTCAGGTATAAAAGCAAATACTGAATGCAACTGGATCTGCAGGAATAATTTATGTATCTTGGGAGAATGATGCAATAGAGAACACGCCTACAATTTCATGTTCTGCAGATCTTCCTCTAGACACTCAGATGAACTATCCTTTATTCCCCAAATAATTAGTTAAGAGTTATTTATATGTTATGGTCCCACAAGATTTCTGATTTACAGTACAAAGAGTCAGGCACTGAATACAGTGATTATATTCGATCTGCATAGGGCATTTACTGACAGGAAAGTCTGCGGGCAAGTGGCCCTGGCCCGAGCTTGCTGCATTACACTGGGATGAAAAATAAAGAACATTTTAGTTGGCCCACAAAGTGCAGTTGTTAAACTGACCCTATTTTCTCTCCTTCTTTCCATTTTCCTGCATCCAGCCCTTCAGTTTCACTGAATTTCAAAGGGGTAGTGTTATTTATGCTTCTTCCTATTTTAGAATGTTTTTATCATGTGGCATAGCACTGCAACTGCCTTAGGGGAGCTTTAATGATAATTTTATTTTTAAAAGTATAGGCTTATCTTGCCTGACCTTGATGCACATAGTGAAAGGTTACTAAACTCCTCCTCTAGAAAACAAAACAGGGAACAAATGTCCTGCGCCTGCTGGATCAAAAGCTCAAGTGTGTCAGAGCCTTCCGCTGCCCCAAAATATATCACCAAGGCAACTGTAGCAGTATTGCAAACAGGTATTGCAAAGGCTTCCCAGTCAGGATTTAAATAATCTGATTTTCCTGCAGTATGTTTTCTACAACACTCAGCAAGTCTTTTCAGAGATGAAAAGCACGCTAACACCATTCCAAATAGTATCTTGGTACAGTAGGCAGTTATCACTGCTCTTCAGAAAGAAAATTAGAGCATGTCACAGTTCAAAGCTCATATAAGGAGCTGAGTAGAGCCCATGCAACTTGGAAGTTGTTGGCTGTCATCAGTTGCACCCCTTCCCTCAAACAAACTACTGACAGGATAAGGAAATAAGCTACTTCCCTGTTCTCTCTCCTGTTCCTTCTCTGAAAGGGAAAACAAGCTCACCCAGAAATGGCACCAAGTATTTCTTTTCCTTTCTGGTTGCACTGAACTGTAAGAAGTTGATCATAACTAGCATTTGCTACAGCTTCTCCCTCCGGAGAAGCTGTCCCTGTGGTACTAGTTAATTCTGAAGTAGTGTACACAAGAACACTAGCGTTTGAATAACCCTTCTGCTTACACTTTTCCCTTCTAGTACATTACTGGCAACCAGCGTGCTTGATGATCCATTGCTTGCTTTTATAAGTCACAGATTACTTGGTAGGAATGTTTGCAAAGGGGCGCTTTGACAGGCTAATTGCAAAAGGCTGCAAAATCCATTACTATCTTTTACATCTCAGAGAACACTGCTCCACGGCTAACAAATCACACCAGCGTATCAGTTTGTGTAGGACTTCTCTGATCAACTTCATAGCAGTGCTCAGAGATGTTAACACTATGGTGAGCTGAAACCCCCAGGACTCTAGGTATCTGTTCATACGATAGAATAGTAGGGTGCCACAATACAGATCTCCTTGTTCTTTCCAAAAAAAAAAAAAAAAAAAACAACAAAACAAAACCATCTTCAAATTCCTTGCATCTTTCAAAAATACATCCTAAAGTAGGTAATGCCTGTATACCTGTAGTGTTTTTCCTACACAACTGTAACATATCAAACATGCTTGGGACAAACTGGTTCGACTCACTCTCTCAATTTTTCAAGGACAACTACACTTCAAGTTAGTTGCGTAAAAAAGCTCATCTCAGGTTTTTGGTAGCCTAGCATAAGAGACTTTACACTTCACTGATTTGACACGAGCTGTTCTTCAAAACCCTGTAGCAAAATGGTTCTGAGGCTGAAAACATTGTTTACTTCCATCCTTTTCATAAACAATCTGGAAGAAGCAATCCCTCAAAAATGAACCTTGGCAGGAGTACATAGCAAGGTTCACATCACTCCTGACACAATATAGTATGAAATCTGCCAACCTGCCCCTTAAGGCAAGGGCTTACACCTGCAAAGGTCTAGCATAGTCAAGAGGTTGTCTTCCTCACATCAGTGAATGTATCAAGGAAAGCTAAAGAAGGTAGAGAATCCAGGCTCATCCTTAGACGGGCTGGTTTAGTCACCGGTCCAAGAGTGCTAGCCAATAATCCTGCGCTTCTCCATCACTCTTCATACAGTGTGAACACACGTCCTAGAGACAGGATGGAAGGTTCAGGTTCAGAAAGAAATTACTAGAAAAGTAATATCGCCAGCAACCACAGCATCTCGGCTAAAAAAAGCATAGCACTTAAAGGTAGCAGAAAACCAGGTTAAGTAAAACAGAAGAACAAGGTCGGTAAATGAAAAATAAGAATAGAAGCTGAGAGAAAAAAATTCTCTCAGACAAGGGGAGTCAGGGTCAGAAGAAAAAATTTTCTCTGAGAAAGAAAGTGAACTCCAGATACAGGAACATGACAAAAATCTTTGGTTATTGCCCAAGACAATTATTTAAATAAGTACCCAACTTCGGCTAGCATTTGGTACAGATTATTAATAGTGAGTTCTTCACTCATTTCTAGTAAAATGCGCATGGAATCAGGGAACAATTTAACATGGCTGAGGTATTCACCGATACAGGATAGGAGTTTGCAGCCTGCCCTAAATCTCTCAAAAACTGGATTGCCAAAAAACTCCACCCCTTTTACATAATCTAACATTAAAGAGCTGTATCTTATTTTCAAGAGAAACATCTTTCTTTACTGTCGGCAAAGAAAATAACAGAAGCAACAAAAACCTAAGTAAAATTATATCCATTAACCTTACTGCTGAAGCAGATAACCTAAGCAATATAAATACTAATTAATTTAAAAGATACAATTGCTCTTATCACAGAGAAATGTTCCTTTTTATGTCACTGAACAGTTTTATTCAGAGCACGTTGGCTTTCCAGGTTCATTCTTGTTTCTAGTTCTAAGGAAGACAGGGTAGAAGGGCTGGCAGAGCACATAATTTGTCTATTTGGTGCACATGCATGCTTAAGAAAGCTTTTTCTCTCTCCATTTCCCTGCCACTACATGTAAATAATTCTCCCTACCTTCTATCTTTAAAAATTAGTAGGGTAGAGGGAGGAGCTAGAAGGATTTGTTCAGGATGCTGTACTATATTACTACTAAAACATGCAGCAATAAATGAAAAGATGCGCTTGAGTCAGTCTTTAACTGTGTTATTCTGAAGTAATTACACATCTCCATGTGCTGTACCGTACTTCCCACAAACGTCCTTTCTGTCCTTGTCTTGTGAGAGCAAGAACAAAACAGTCATCTTGGTACCAAAACACAAAATGACAGTTTGTCAGTAGCAGGAGCGCTCTTGCCTGCTAAGTCACACTTAGATGTATATACAGCAATTTTGCTCTGCTACTAAAGCCTTAAGACTTCAGCGTACTGAAAGAACCAGGGTACATGCAAAACTTCTGAGATCTGCTCCAAACATTGTGCATTTACAGTGTTAGTTAAAGGACGCAATAAAATAGTAATCCTTAGTTTTAATTGTAGTAATAGCAGGTCAGGCGTTTCAGCAAGCATGGAGTTCTGTTTTGGTTTTAAAGTTGGTACTGCTCCCTGAACTCAAGGGCTGTGTTAACGCTGAGATTTTAAGAACCAGATTCAGTGCTGCGCTCTTGTTTTGATAGATACTTACGTGTCAGCAGTCACAGCAGATGATATTTACATTTAGACTGCTGGTTGCATGTTCCTTAATCTTTTTGCCTATGCTCATTCTATTGAGCAAAAGAAAATATGTATTGTCAGAAGCAGCCTTGCTCTATAAACATTGAAATCTCTCTCCACTTAAAGACAAAGCAGCCAAACTCTTCAGAGCAGACTCAGTTCCTTGGGATTAGAGCTGTATCCGCGCATCTATTCTCAACATGCTTGTCAATACCTTCCAAAATTTGTGCATTATATCAAGATGTTGCCAAATAGATATAATAAACAACCCGTAGTTACAACGGGGGATTTGAAGTTGTGGGGTCCTCCTAAGAGAGACTGCAGAAGCTAATCACGTTGCAGCAAACATTTCCGGTATCAGTTTACAGCAATAAGAATAGAAGCGGACAGGCAAAAACTTCAACTGAGAATCAGATGGCAGCTATAACGCCCCAGTCAAAGCAAAATTGCTTGCTCTGTCAGGAGCTATATAGCAACAGAGACTTGCAGATCTAGAAGGGCAAGTTGTTAGCGCCTCAGTAAAGAGAAAGACAAAGCACATGTAACGTTTACCCTTGTAAACAAACCCAGAGCGAGGAACCGCTGCGGTGACAGCTACCAAGCAGCCCACGTTTTGATTCCCGGCGGTGACACCTCGCTCCTGCGGTGGACGGCGGGCAGCCCCCATCCCCAGCTGCGGGGGAAGTTTCTCCGGCCCCGGGGGACGCGGCGGGGACTGCGAGAGGCGCCTCGCCCCGGCAACTCTCCCCTCCCCCAGTTCAAAACACCACCAACCACCGAGGAAGGGCGATCCGGAGGCCCCCCCCACCCCCCCCCACCCCCGGTGAGGGGCGAGCGCCGGCCACCCCCACCCACGCACCCCCCCCCCCAACCCCCGCCGTCCCCCCACCCCCTCACCGTGCTGGGTGAAGATATTGAAGCCTCCCTCGGCGGTGCGGCCGGCCGCCTCCCGCCGGCGGCCCGCCGGCCTGGCCGCGCTGCTCCCCCGCGGTCGCTGCTGCTGCTGCGGCGGCGGCGGCTGGTGCTGGAGCCCGGCGCCCGGTTCCCCGACGCGGCCCACCTGCTGCCCCATCGCCGCGCTCCCGGCCGCGGCCGCCGCTCACATCACATACCGCCGACCCCGCCTGCCCCGGCCCCGGCCCCGGCGGGCTGGCGGCCCTCCCGCTCCCGCTGCTCCCGGCGCGGCGCTCCGGCCTGGCGCTCACGGACTCGCCCCCTCAGCCCCCGCCGCCATCTTAAACCACAGAGCGCCGGGAGAGAGGGGGCAGAGCGGCTCCCGCAGCCACCTCCGGTCCTCCGAGGGAGGCCGCCCACGCACCCACCCCGCCCACGCACCCACGGACACCCGGGCGGGGGCGGGCGCTTCGAGGGACGAGAGGAGCGAGGCGCACACGCACACACGCACACGCACACCCCGAATCCCCGGGTTACTTGCCGCATCGCGCCCGCGGAGGGTCCTCCCGTCTCGGCCACGACTTGGGGCCAGGCGCGGGTGGCCGGGCCGAAGGCCGCGGCCACGGGCCCCACGCAGCTCCACTCGTGGCGAAGCTGAGCCCCGGCCCCATGAACGCGCTTTCCTTGCAGGCTAAAGCCGGGCGGGTTCACCTAGAAACCCAAGCAGGCGTGAGGTGTGAAGCCAGGGCGGTGTACCTGGCAGCGGGAGGGCGCGGCGGTGGGCCTGGCCCGAGCCCTGCACATCTCCTCCTCCTCATCCTCCTCCTCCTCATCCTCCTCCGTGGCTCACCAGGCCCCGGGCAAACTCGCCAGGCTCCCGCTGGGACCTGCTCTCCTGGCCAAGGGTGTGGAGGAAGAGGAAGGCACTGCTGTGTGAATAACGCCAGGCACGTTGGTGGCCAGGCGTGGTTGGCAGCAGCGTCTTGTCATCGGGCGGCTGCACGTGCGCTCTGTTCTGTCACTAATTGGTAAACTGCCTTCTTTCAGCTTCTGTAATATTAGAATAAGGCTCTGCAATCCAAAACAGAAGGGCGGAGGTTGCATCCTGAGAGATAATGGCGCTTGTTGCAGTTTAGAGGACCGAGGCACTTGGAAGTATTTCGCTTTCCATGCTAGCTACTATTTTCAGCAATGCTGTGGCGATACCGCTTCATTGTGGATGAGCCACAATGCTGTTCATCTCAGGTGCCCTCACTGAGAACTGACGTGCCAGTGACAAATTGGCTTGGTAACACTCAGAGCCAGCCAGCTTCCAAGGAGCCACAACAACCTGGTGCTGTCCTGGCATGGGAGGGTGAGGAGAAGCTGCTCTCTGAGCTCCGTGAAAGTCAGCTTTCTTGCATGAAATCCCTAGTGACAGGAATTCTGAGGTTGTAGTCTACCTTCCCAGGGTCATGAGGTGCTACCAAAATGCGATCCATGCTGTCACATGCACCTTCCTGCTGCAATAATAATTCTGCCTAAAGTAGGGTTGGCTCATCCAGCTGGGCCAGTGTGTTCTCTGACACAGGCTGGAGTGAATGTGAATGGGAGTGAGGAGCATGTGGAGTCAGAAATGCCTTCACTCACTAAATTAATGGATTAAGAACATTGAGGAGATCAGGAATTACAGACTTGCTAATAACACACAACAAAACAGTTCCTAAAATAGTGCTGGGAACATCTGGGGTGTAGCACGGGGTACTCATTGCCAAGTCCAGGACCTTGTATGGGCATGACTACATGTATATGAGCAGAGGGTGCCTCTGCAGGATGGGCAGTCTCGTGCAGAAATGGCCCACACAGGTAAATTCTGCCATAGAGACATTTTCTGGTCTCATTCCAGCGAGAATTTACAGGGTTTGGCATTTATAAATGGCTTGCCTTGTAAACAAAATACATGTTCTCTGAAGACAGTAGAGACAACAAACAGAACTCCCTCATGCCATTTGCAGTTCCCATGTAGGATAGAACCACTCTTTAAAAATCAACAAAACTACTATTTTTCTTTCCTTAATGCCTTTTACTCGTAGATCCTAAAGAACTATCTAGGGGAAGGTCATTAGCATTTTAAAAGAAGATGCCAGTGTCAAGAGACCATTATACATAAGTGCACTAAGGAGAAGTGGGTTTAAACACTGTTTTTATTCCTCAGATCTCATGAAATCCCTCATTCTCTCTACCAGCAGCTTGTGCGCATACAGCAGCTTGCTGCGGGTTGCATTAATGTCAGACTGCATGGAACTTGTCTGACACACAGACACGTCTTAACTGAGGATGGAGTCGGGCAGGAGCTTTCTAAAAAGGCCTGTTGCAAGGAGAACAGGGCTGCAGCATGGTTACCATTCACTGTTGTGTAATGGTATTTTAAGATCGTGTTGTACCCCATTAAAAATGCTTCAAAACCAGTGCCCCAGCCATTGCTGGTTGTGTGCTAAGCAAGCCATACCCTCAGACCATACCCCACTTGGTCCTCTCAACAACATTGTTTATATGGTATCATATAAACAGGGGATGCCAAGCCCTGCTTAGTGACCGCTCTCTAGAGTGCCTGCTAGAAGAGCAATGGGGATATAAAGAAGAAACTCCCCAAACGGAAAATGACTCTGTGCTACTGAGTCACCGATGACACTGAGCTACATCATTCCTTATTGTTAAAACGGGGGCTAATAAGTATTTACTCCAGAGTGTTGTGGTTATTAACCATGCAAACATTACAAAGTGCTTTGAAGAGGTAAAATCTGTATCAGTGCTACTTATTATTAACAGCTGTGATGTTATCAGCCTCATGAAGTATCAGGAATAGGTTGTTTTTCAGAAGGTAATTTCTTTTGAAGAGGTCTGGCACCATGCATTAATGAGCCATCAGTATCAGTTAGTGTCCTCCTGGCGATCTTGGGCTTCCAGTCAGTCTGCCATCTCATGAGCTGTTCAAGTAAGGGATAAAAAGGACCAAGGAACAAAGGCAGCATTGAGGTTACAGTAATGTGCCTGATGAGAAATGTGATATTTCTAGAAACGCTTCTGAACTGACTTTAAATATTCACCATATATTCATTTCTTGAAGCTTCTTCTAAGCACTGACAATGCATTGCTCCACATCCACAGCGTGCTCCAGAAATCACACAATCAAATAGTTGCTGGCTGAGCAGTCTTATGTGCTCTGCATTACATGTCATGAGCCTACTGCTGTCATCTGCCTGAAGTAAGGGTTCTGTGCCAGAAGAAGCCTCTGGACAAATTGGAGACTCCCGAGCCTAAGTGTTGAGTCAGCTGGGCAATTTCTGTTTGTAACTGAGGAAAAAATAACTAGCAGTACTCTGTTGGTGGCTTGAAAATGATTTCTAGGAGTAATCTTCGCTATTCTTCCAGCTCATATACCTTCTGTGTATCTGAGCTATACAGAGAAACAGATTTGTGTTAAACATCTGACTGATATTTAGAACAGGGATGATATTAGTTAAGGTACTTCTTAACTACCTGGAACAACAGAGGCACATTTGGAGAGTTCTCAAAAGTAAGGGATACATGTGCATAACATGTCAGGATTTTTATTCTTTTATTGCAATACCAGAACAAGTCGTGGAGCTCAGGACAGCGGTAACTCGACTGGGATGTCTGCAAAAGCCATGTGTAATGTCCACTAGATGGCCCGTGCCATTGCTGCCCCGCGTCCCTGCAACACCCCTGACTTCACCCGCCTGGAAACCAGGCAGCCACCTCCCCGCCTTAATGGAGGGGTTGTGGGGAAAAACTTTAAAAAAAAAAAAAAAGAGAGAGAAAGAAAGAAACATTTAAAAATCTAATAAAGGCTTTGTGACACAAAGTTAGTTACTCTGCAATAAACATTGAAAGCTTGTAAGTGCTGAGCCATTTCAAAGGAGAATGTTGTTTCTTGGTGCAACGTGTATAAGCACTCACCTTTTCTTCTCGGATTGAGAGCTCTTAAAATCTGCTGTCTGCACAGATCTTTCATGGCATAATGGGTAGTGTTTCAGTGTTGTCTTAAAAGTTACTTTGAATCATTACTCTGATTTAAAGTAGAATTTATGTACAGTGCATGCAAGATAGCTTGGGGTACTCACATGCCTGTTCAATGAGAGTCTGTGAATACAAAATCTTTCTGGGGAAGTACGGTTTTCTAAGAGATTTTGCCCAACAGCACAGAAGGGTTCACGTGCAGCCCTTGACAGATGAAATTTCCCCCGTTAATAGCTGTTCTTTCTTCCACCTGAGTTAAAACAAAAACTCCACACGCACCCCTTCCCGCAAATGCTGCATCCATCCCACCACCCGACTCAACCCTGTCCTCCATGCAACCACCCTTTGGTTATCTCTTTGGTGCTGCTTCAGCATTATTCTCATTCAAACAGCTCTTCTGGCACTGCCAGCTACTCTTCTAAACACAGATGCCTACCAGGAGAGTGAGCAAACGAAGGGTGCTGCGGAGGGAGGAAAGGGCCTGGGTATACGGTGTTGTAGTGGAACAGATGAGTGTGTCTGTGTGTAGAGACAGCCAGCTCACAACAGCATCTCAGGCATCCTGATTCTTCTTTTATTTGGTCCTGTGTTTTTGTGTTAGGTGTATTGTGTAACTAACCACCCTCACGGATCGTAACTGCGTGGCCGGTCCTTGTGTCCATATTTATTAACTGTAAGCAGCAACACATTAACTGTGCTAAGGTTTTGCAAGAACTACACCCGTCATGGTATAACCCAAAACCTTTTCACAGCCTCCTTCAGAGTAAAGCCAGAGGTGGGGAGACACAGAATAATCAGATTATAGGACTTCTTCAGTAATTGTCTTCCTGTCTGATATATTTCTGCAAGCCATACAGCTGCATTGCCCTTCCCCAAGCAATCTGTTTAAGGCACAAAAAGTTGTTGAAGGGTATGCTAATAAGGACATTAAGAATGTTGTTTGTTTGCCTTTTTCCGTGGAAAATGTTGCCTCTACCAAACAAAAATGATGACAAGTCTCTGCATCTGCTGGGAATTGCAAATTAGTACTCAGCTTGCACAGTGTGATCACTGATAAAGTACATTTGCTGAGGTAATATGAGGTCCCTCGACAGTGCTGGTGATGATTCAGGCTTTTAGGCATTTGTCTGCAGGTGGGTCAGTAGGAGTGTTTTGCCACCAGAGATCCTGGGTTGTCTTAATTCATGTTTAAGAGCCTAATTTTTTTTGGTTCCTAATTTGAAAACTTACTAGCTTGTTGGACAGCAAGGGGGTTCTATAGTTTGCAG